AGAAGGATTGACAAGATAGCCATGGTTTTAGGGGACTTCTTTAGACAGATGCACAACTCTTCTTTTTCTGCTTTAAATCGAAAAAGACTTTTATTTTATTTTTTAATGTATTTTTTTTACCCCCCATACCGCTGACAAGACTTTTAATACTAAAAAGGAAACAGCTGACTCAACCAAGAAAAAAAAAGACTGTTTGGGGAGGTGAAATCCTCATGTTTGTAAGAACGATGTATCTGAGTCCGGAATAGCTACCTTAGCTGCAATCAGTACTATTCAAGCTGAATAGCAGCTGGAAGAGTTCTGTGTACAGTTGTGGGTTTTCTTTTCCTCAATCAACATTGTATTAATTAAATACCATTCTTCTATGAAGCAAGGTGACTCCTGAGGTATGTGGGAAATAGGGAGAAAAACCATAAAATCCTCATTTGTTGAAACCAAAAGAGGTCTTAAAGCTTGAGCTGCTTTCACCTCTTGTTTCGTTTCTGCTGGCTTCAAACCCTTTGTTCATCCTAAAATCCAGGGAGACAGGGCAAGAGAGCAAACAGGAATCCCCAGCCTCTGCTCCACCTCCTTATCTTCCTACCCAAGCTTCATTCTGTACCACAAAAGGCCTTGTGCGCACAAATACGAACAGCCCAGTCTGCATGTCCAAGCTCCATCCACAGCTCCCCAACAAGGCCCAAGCCTAGGGGTGTACACATCAGCAGCTCCTCTACCACTAGAGAATACACCCAGGACAGATGACTGTGAAATCTCAGGAATGAGCCCAGAGCCATTTGGACAGGAAACTCTGGGGATCCAAGTGCCCAGAGTGTGGTCTAAAAATAGGGACAGAGTTCTGGGCATTTCTTTGGCTCTGAGGATTCTTTGTCCCATGGAAGTGGCAAGGCCTTATGACAGTGAGAGTTGGGGTCATATAGTGGAGAGTTCTGGGCATGAGATTTGCATGAGTCAAAGATAATACTAGTTTTCAGAGACCAAAACAGTTGTTGGTAATACATTATCATCATTATCATCATGTCTACCACCTATCAGAAAGTTCTACATAGCTCCAAGTAAACTAACTAGAGGCCTAGCAAAATGTTTGAAGTGACTCAAGAACAACCTTTACATTTCCTTGAGTTATTAAAAAAAAAAGACTGTGCACAGCCATAAATGAAAAAATAATTTTAAGTTTAAATTATCTTAGTGATTAAAGCAATTTAGCCTTGATTAGAAGCTACATAAACTTTTCAACTTTAAAAAGACTAATATTAGTTTTAAGAGACTAATCCAATGTGCTGCATCTTTAGAGTCTTCAAAAACTTTCAGTCAAGTTTTTTATTAATTGTGAGCAAAACATCATCTCCAAAATTTTAAAAGAAAACATTCCTTCTGTCATTATTGTATCCCAAACCCTTCAAAATAAATCTACAAAAGTCGCAATGATTGGTAAACATGAACTAGATGTACCATCAAAAGATAAATACCTTTGGGAAAAAAGGTACATTGTGTGAGATTTGAGCTCTGAATCCACCAGAACTGTATCCAATTTGCAAACATCTGAGAACCATCGGCAATGCAGAACAGAGGGAGGAAGGGATGGGGGCAGGGAGCGAGACAAAGAGGGAGAAAGAGGGAGAGAGGAGAGGCATTATTTTTCAAGTGATTTTTGCTCTGTAACTAAAAATAAGGGGAAATGATGAGGCATATGCAAATGCCAATAACCTTCATTAAAAAAAAAGTTGTCAACAGCAGAGTAGTTTTCAAGTTGGTCAAAAGAGTAATTATGGCAGCTGCAGTGCCATGCTCTCTAACAAACTGTTTTTAGGTTCACAGAAAGAGTAAATTAGGCCAAACCACTAAGAAACGTGGCATAAAACATGAAAATCCCCATGTGAACAAAGCAGAAAGCAGTGTTGAGGGGCAAAATCAGGTTTTCTCAGAAGCTTTGTTACAAGATTTTGATGTAAAAAGTTCCTACAAATATCTGGAGGGTGATCAATTGCCACCTAACCTGTTCCTTTTTGCCCAGTTCATTTATCTGTGTCTTCCCTTTAGTTATAAACTGCCATGGAGATGGGCACTGTCAGACAGCCAGTATCTTTAAGAGCTCTCTGAGGGGGATGCCACACAATGTATTCAAGTCTTAAAATTCAACTCTATTCAACTCTTAAAATCTATAAATGACTTTGAGATCCCTCAGGAGAGACCTTCTGAAAATATGAAGTCACTTACTGCTTTACTTCAGAAGTTAAGCAAAATTTTCAATAGCTTGAGAAGTTTTAACTGGTGAATCTTTGGGGAAGTTGTCCTAATTTTGTTTCACAAACTGATCTGGAATAAAATCATAGTTACTTTAGTGGAATAGTACTTACTGGGCCTGGGAAACCTTATTGCTTCATAAATATCCCAATGCTTTTTAACAGTGAGCGTCATTACTGCCAGGTCACAATCACTGTTTACATATAAAAAAATCTCTTACTTGAAGAAATATTTTCAAAAATAAAGTTAATAATTAATAACTCTTTACAGTTTAGTTTTGCTATCTGCATGTAATTTTCTGTATTACATACACTGCAATAATATTCTGAAAACAACTTTCAATGAATGTCCCCAAAGTTCTGGCTGTCACTTGCCCAAACTGTGATTTTTTTTATTTTTTATTTTTTGGTTTTTAAGTCAGGTTCTCCTTCACAGCTTTGAGAGGAAATAGTTTACTTGTTGCTTCACATATGTAATTAAAATTTGCTTTTCCTTAAAGTGAACATACTGTCCTAAGCCTCATCTATTCACTGATAATGTAGGGTGGGGGCAGAAATGGATACATGAAACAACATTTAGGCTAAGAGAGAAGTGTACAGATCAGCAGGCCCAAACCCCCACAGGCAAGCAAACTGACAAAACCAAGAGTAACGAAAGGTTTCTAAGATGAATTGAGGAACAGAAGCAGCAGAGGAGATGATTGGAGCAGCATTTGTTTCCCCTCCAAATGTAGAAATTTTAGTTCATATGTACACTAGCCAGTGGTTGTAAACAACCATTTACTTGGTGTAAAGAACTTAATTTCAATATGAAGTGACTCTGGGCAGCATTGGTGATGCCTTTCCGAGTTGTAGCCACAGTAATTGTGAATATTAACTGAGATGATGAAACATGGTGTCTGGTTTTCTATTGCATTTTTTCAAGTGGAAAAGTTAACTAAATGGCTGAAACACACAAAGTGGTGGAGAAATTGTGCATATGTCAATTTTTTGCTAAAACCCTTTGTTTTGAACTATATTGCTTTGAGATCTCATTTCAGAAGGGCATAGTCTTCAGCCACAGTTGTAATGGTTCTACATGCTCACAATTGGGCACTCTTAGGGTTTTTTCCATCCCTGGGGTTTGCAAGTTGTTCATGTAAAGCATTCCTAAAATGGTTGGCTTCTTGCTTACAAGCCAGCTGATAATGGTAGCAACCAGGAGTCCAGTATTTACACAGATGAAAGACTCTGCCTGCTTACTTGTGCTAGAAACAACAGCACCTAAAATGAAGACTTAAGAAAAACTTAGTGGCTACTAGACTATACTTAGGACTCTGCATTAACCCTGTTATTGTTGTTTTTTCTAAAAGCGTATTTGTCAGAGAAATGTAGCCAACATGTTAAAATTAAACATGTATGAATGTTGCTTAGATAAATGTAATCACTGTAAACATCAAAAGAAGAAACTTGTAAAGAACTTCAGTAGTGCCTAAAGAAAACTGTAAGCCTCAAACACTTTATATATAATCTCATTTAATTCTCACTGCAGCTCCATGAAGTAAGCCATGTAGTTATTAGTATGCCTGATTTTTAATGTGGCAACAGGCTTGGAGTTAAATGCATACAATTAGTAAGTAGTAGCAAGAGGATTTGCAGTTTCTGGCTACGAAGTCTTTGAAAGTCTTTGTCTCTACCATGCAGCTTTTTTTTTCAGTTTCCTTTATTTTTTGCTTGCACTTTAATATTTTAAAGGGGACACAAGACAAGAGGCTGTATGCGTTACTTTTGGTGCTGCCTAGCTTATCTTTATACTAATTAAAGATTAACTTTCTCTGGCAACTGGCAAGCACCCATCTTGACACTTCCCCATTTTTTTTCACTGCCGCTAAAAGCTGATAATAAACTTGAGTTGCCCCTGCCCATCAGCACGACAAAACTGTTGTTTTGCTGTTTAAGACTGCAAAGTTATATGCATTTTAAATTCAAGCTTTATGAGCTTAGAGAATGCCTCATGATTTAAGAAGTTGATCTGACATTTATCCCCCAAAACAAATAATGAAATAAAGAATATGCAGAGCACTGTATTTTACCTTTCCCACCATCCCAGTAGAGCATCATAATGGCATCTAAGCATTCCCAAGGGCTCTACAGTAGCCTCGGTCAGAATTGCTGTCCACAATTGCAGACTGGCTCACTGAAAAACTGGCAGCATTACTGGACACTGCTCAACAAGGCTTAGCACTTTGTTGAAACTAGTGAAAAAATTCATCGATCATGTTATAATGCATTTAAATATCTACTCAGTTAAACATAAAAACCTGCAATATGTGTGCACTAGAATTAATCGGTCTTCCCTTTCTAATTTTCACTTCTCAGTTACCAAGTGAAATTTTAGCCTTGTTTTTATGCCTCAGAACACTTTAGCTTGTGCTCGAACTTCTTAAAAAATTCAAAATGCTGATTACGCACAGCAATGTTAGCCAGATTCGTTGAAAGAAATAGTATATGCACCTTCCCAAATACTTTGAATATTTATAGACTTTTGTTGAGATGTATAGTCCTATCTTGGTACTGAATTAGAAATAAAGTTTGGAGGTAAATTTTTTCAGTACCTAGTTCCCAAACAAAACTAAGTACTTGCTGAGATGAATATCCACCACCATGAAATACCAGAGAATACAAAATTTACTTTTGCTAGTAAATCAATTACACTGATTTTTATTTAATGATGAAAGCATTCATTGGCAGATTAATGAGGACCAGACACTTTTCCAGTTTAGTTGACACATTTGCTTTTTTATTTTTTAGAATATAGTCTACATCTGGATTAAAAAAGTTTTAAATAAATTTAAGACATACAACAACAGTGGAACCCTTCATCATTCTATGTACAACACGACAGAATGTCAGTTGGTTCCATTTCGGTTAAGTTCACTTTCTCACAATAATGTTATTATTTTCACTGAGTGGCAAGCTTCGTACAAGCTGGCGCAATGCCGGCTTATACACACTGGGGTGGGGGCGGGGACGGGAGTGGCATGAAAGGGATGGGGTGGGGGTGCCACAGGACTACTATACAGTGTTAACAGTGTAACAGAAAATCATTAATAAAGTAGTACCGATTACCGACAGACAGTGCTGTTTGTGCGCTTATCACAACGGAATCGCTGCCAAGTTTCAGAGCAAGGAGATTCGAAACACTTAACACAGGGCCAATGTTACAAAAAGAAATAGTGCAAACAGGAAAACTGATGCAATCCTAGCAACAACGCCTGGGCCTCCACCGGCCCAACCGCAGGGCGGCGGGAGATTGTGCGCCCCGCCTTCCGCAGCACCCAGCTCCGGGCTTCTTTCCGAAGTGTGGCAACCCAGCGCCGCGCCCTGGCTCGCCGCCCCCTTCTCCTCCGAAAAGAACAGAAAAGAAACCCAGGGAAAGGCACAGGCTGAATGCAGGGCGTCAGCCCAGTTCCATTTCTGCCAACATAGAATGCAGGCCTCCTCTCGGGAGGTTCCTTGAGCCCTCCCCTCTCCGGCCACCATTTTCTTCTCCTTTCTCACACGAGGCCCCCTCCTCCTTGCAGCCCTGCCGCGCCTCCTGCAAGTATGCAGCCCCCTAATATGCAGTCTGCCCTTCCCGCCCCACAGCCAGTAAGAAAAAAGCTTTGAGGAATGAGAGGGTGAGATGGGTCGAAAAGGGTGCTAGGCGGCCGCGGGAGCCCCGCCTCAGTGGCCCCAATTGCTGAAACCGATCTCCTGCTTGTATCTGTTAGTGAGGATGTTGGCTTTGCGCGTGAGTTTCGAGAGCACAGTGTGCAGCCCTCGCAGGTGGTAGTGGAACTGCTGCTCCAGGTCTTCTTCGCCGGCGTCCGCGCCCTCCAAGTGGCCCAGGTCCACCAGGATGTCCTTGGACTTCCAGGCAGTGCTCTCTTCGCTCCCCGCCGGTGGAGGCGGCTGGTGCAGGACCCCCCACTCAATGTCGTTGCGGATGGACTTGAGCAGTACGTAGTGGCTGTACATGTCCCGAGAGGGTGCGAAAAAGCTGCCATTGGCGCTTCCCGAGCCGGGGACTGGGGGCGTGCGCTCCTCCAGGCAGCCGCCACTGCCGCCTACCTCCACGCCAACATCGTTGTCTAACCCGGGCTCAGCCAGGGGCACGTCGCGCAACAAGCTGGGCACCATCACCGTCTGGTCCATGTTGTTCACGGCGCCAATGAAGCGATTCATGGCGTTAAAGAGCGAGTGCTTCTGGTTGTAGGTGTCGCAGATTTGCATCATGGTGGCCGCGCGGGCGCCGGAGCGCAGGGACGCAGGGGCACGGTGATGGTCAGCCGGGTCAAGGGGCTGCCCGCCTCCAAGGCCCGCGCTGGGGACCTGGCTGTAGCCGGTGTGGCGGGATTCTTGGCAGTCCTCCGACCTCGACAACTCTAGTCTCGCTCGCAGACCGGCCCTGCGGGATGGGCGGCTTCTCTTGGCTTTGGCGTCCGGAAACTCACGATGGCTGAGGGTGGTCTGTAGGTCAAGCCTTGGCTTGTTTGGTACACGAGGACGAAAGAACAGATTAGATTATTCACCCACCCGTGCGCACCCCCCTCTCTGGCTACAGCTGGTCCCGGACTGTCCCTGGGTGGCTCCCCTCGGCTGGACAGTCCCACCTCCTCGCCCGCCTAGGGCCGCCGAGAGAAGGGTCCCCCTGTCCCCTACCACCACAACTTCTCCCTCCGAAAAGCCTGAGCTCAAGCAACTACGCTGGCCGGGGCAACGATGGGTCGGGGGCACCCACCTCCTCTTGTGCCTGGAGATTCCCCTGCTCGTTAGCGATTCAGTGTTCCCGCTGCCAGCGGCTGCTGCCAAAGGGCGCTGCTGAGGTCAGTGGCCGGACTGTGACTGCGGGCGGCGGTGGCTGAGATGGCCCCCTACCCATCCCAGGTGCTCAATTTATAGACCAGGAAAGGTGTCGCCGGCGTTCGGGGCCACCCCTGTGTCTCCTCCTCCCGCCTCCCCGGGCAGCACCGAGATAAAGGCCCGGGCCGGGATGACCGTGGGTAACACTTGCCCGGCCCTTTCTACAGCGGGGGCGGGGCGCGCCGGGCCAGCTCCGCCTCTCGCCTGATACCCGGGCTGAGGGAGGGCGCCGGGGTAGGGCGGGGCGGGGCAGGGCAGGACCCGGCAGGGCAGAGCAGAGGAGGGATTGGAGCAGCCGGGCCCCGCCAGTACCAAGCCCTGGGCTGGCCAGCTCGGGGAGGGCCGGGCAATGCGAGGGTCAAAAAGGCGCCGGCGTCCCGATCAGCTGGAGGGTGGGGGCTAGGCGGGCCGTGCGCGCGTTCTCGGCGTGGGATGACCGGAATGCACGTGCCTTGGTTGCAGAGTGAGCCCAACTCCGAATCTGGAGTGGCCGCGGCCGGGAAACAGGAGCCCAGGTTTATTATTAGCCGTCGGGGAAGAGGGGCCGGCAGCAGGTACAACTCCATCCTGGGACTCTTACGTAAGGGTGGCCGGGCATGCTGAGTGCACGTGGACGCGCGGTGCTCCCACAGTGGCCCTGGCCTTGGTTAACCGGGGGGAGGGGAGCGTCAGAGGCTTTTGCCTCCCTCCCGGCGGGACGGGATGTTTCCCAATCTTTCCTGTAACAGTCGTTGCCAGGGGATGAAGAGCAGCACACTATCCTATCTGCGGATTCTTTCAAGAGCTCTGAACATGGCAATGAGGAAAAGCCAGTTTTTGTCCAAGTCGGCTACACGGTGATCGTGGAGAGCCTGGGCCATGTGGCCTTTTGGCTGCCAAGAGGCCAGGAGAGGGTGACAGTAGTTAGCTCCAGTGTTGGGTGTCTTTCATCATTTAACAGAGAAGTGGGGAGGTGTCCAATTAGTTTTGAGGGTGCTTGTGTGAAGTGTTTCTTTCAAAAGATAGTTCTTAAAGCACTGGGTCATTTAATAGGGCCTAAGCTATGTACCGAATCGCTAGATTTAACTTTTAAGAGCGTTGCACCTTAAATTTCACGTTGAAACTTACAAACGACAGTCTATTTAATTTTTCCCACTTCACGTCCCTTGCCATATTCCTCATCCACCAGTCCTCTCTGACAGTCCTACAATTACGTTCAATAAAATTGAAGCTTCTCATTTTAAATCCCTTTTCTCGGCCGGGCGCGGTGGCTCACCTCTATAATTCCAGCACTTTGGGAGGTCCAGGCGGGTGGATCATGAGATCAGGAGTTCGAGATCAACCTGGCCAACATGGTGAAACCCTGTCTCTACTAAAAACACAAAAATTAGCCGGGCGTGGTGGAGGGCACCTGTAATCCCAGCTACTCAGGTTGAGGCAAAAGAATCGCTTGAACCCGGGAAGCGAGGGTTGCAGTGGAGACTGAGCCATTGCACTCCAGCCTGGGTGACAAGAGCAAGGACTGCGTCTCAAAAAAAAAAAAAAAAGAAAGAAAGAAAAGAAAAGAAAAAGAAAAAAACATCCCTTTTCTCTAAAACCTAACAGGGTTGTCTGTCCCTAGTACAGTGTTTTCCAAGAGAACAAAAAATGCCAAAAGAAGGGAGAACATAATAAAGGAGTTTCTTTCCCTTTCACATTAAGACCTATACTTAAATATTTTCCATAGAACCATCTTCCTAATTGTCTTTTGAATGAAACCCTGACTTGGTGCCACAAGGACTAATCTGTTGACAAAAAAACAAAAGTCAGCGACCCTTGGCAACAGACCCAAGCCTGGGGACCCACTACCCCAAAACTTATTAGCTCTAGATCATAGACCGTATTTTCTTACTTGCAAAACTGGGATAGACCTATCAGGGTTTTGAAGGAAGATCAATGGAAAGAAAAATATAGAGGGGAGAAAATCATTATATAACTTTTAAGTATTAAAATAATCTCACCTTCCCTCTCTGCACACATAAACATAGAAATTTTCTAGCCTCAGTTTTTTTATTAAAAAAAAATCTGGAGCGTGTTCCATGGGCCTTGCCAAGGATTTTGCCTAAGGTTAAATAAAATAATGTAAATAAAAATCACTACGTAAATTTTAAAGTACAAAGATTTATTGTACTTGATATAGGACCTCATCATAGTAAGAGGTGTTTATGTCAAGAGTCAGAAATCTTAAAAGTGTGGAAATTGGCTATGATGAGCCACAGATCCTTCCCCCTCAACCTCCAGTGCTTAAGCAGGAAAAGAATATAAAGTATGCCCAATTAGACTGAAAGAGCACTGCAATAAGAAAACTCGAGAAAAACAGATACTCGGTTTCTAGTAGCTGATCTTCTCATAAACTAAAGCATACTTTGTCCCCCTTCCTGAACTCTTTTAGTATTTTAAGTACGTATGCACCCGAATGAAAACTCGGTATTCAGACTTGTTACTAAATGTCAAAATCTTGCCTCTTTTCCTCTTCTTCCCAGTTCCAGCTGTGTGATAACTCACGGAAAACGGAAATCCAAGGGATCTAGCAAAAGAATTCCACCCAGCAAAAACGCCAGCTTGGGAGAGAGCCCCTAACTCCTTCCTTCTGGCCTCCACCCCTCCCCTGATATGTTTCCTTCTGTCTAGTCTCGAGATAACCCTTCATCCTCCCCTAGTTTCTTGACTCTGGCCGGTGTTCCTGCACATTTCTTAAAACACTATCAGAGAAAGATGGCTCATGCACCTGCCTGCAAAACTTCCCAAACCGGGCCCCCGCAACAACTCACACCCACCGGAGAATCTCCTGAACGAAAAGGTCCGCGGGCCAGAGCTCCGGGCCCTTGGAATCACCCCACCACCGCCCCTTTGTCTTCAGCCAATCAGAAGCCGTCAGAAAATATTATGCAAATAAATCCTGACTCTCCAGCCAGTCAGAAGCCGCGGAGCCCTCCCCCACGCAGCGTCCTCTTTCGCCCCAGGCCGAGCTGGCTGACGCGTCCCTGGCAACCGGCGTGCAGCCAGTTCTCCCCCACGCCTGGCTGTAAAAAAATTAAAATGGCTCCCTGGGGTCGCATGGGAGGGGAGCGGGCTGGCCCAGGCCGGCGGGAGGCTGGCAACCTCACTGCCCCAGGCACCCTCCCTATCGCGATCTGGAACAGGCTGGAGTTTGCATCCAGAAAACAGAAGTCATCCGTTGTACAAATAACTTTTGAGCCCTTGCAGCAGGCCCACAGCCTCAAAGCAAGAGGTCTTTGGTCTCTGCTTTCTATCCTATATGCTAAATTCCCGGTAAAATCTTTGTCTAATGCACCCGCCGCACTTCTTGGTTGATAGTTCCAACTCCGGAACTGTTAAATTCTGGTTGTTAATTTCCACTTTACCTTCTTACTCCAGCAACCAGAAAGCCATGCTTTGCTGGTCATCTCCCCAAAAATATCCCAAAATTACCCCTTGTACTGTGTCCCTTGTATAGTTTGGGGGGGAAATGACATTTTAAAAGTGACCAGAAATTCCTAAAGAAAGTAGTCAGCAAGAGTAAACTGGTGCAAAAAAGTCAGACTGGTTAAATAATATATATATAATATATCTGGCTTAGAGCTGGAAGAAAGCTGGTATGTTAAGGCAAGAAACCAGCCCAATCCAAGATAGCAAAGATCCTGGATTGTTTTGAGACAGACTTAGAAGGATCCACTTCATGAAAAATGTCCCAGAAATATGACAATCAGACCGTAGTGTTAAAGGCCATGTAGTCCAAGCATCCACTTGTGCTGAAATCGCTCACAACATCCCCACCAAGTGGTCGCCCTTGCCCACATTCTTGTATTTTCCATTCTCCAGTGTTCTGTCTTTTGGAGCTCTACAGAAGGCCATGAAGCAAGCACACCATCAGATGTTTGAAGGTAGATACGGTCTCCTTAAGTTTACTATTCTTCAAGTGAGTTATCCCCAGTTCCTGTAGCCATTCTTCACGTTCTCTTTTGAGTCACTCATCCATCCTGGTCACGATCTTCAGAAGTAGCTCTGGTTTGCTGGTGTGGCCCTTCTCATTCCAAGTACCATCTTTTCTAGGACAAAATGGAGTGGCACAGCCACTTATATTAATGTAAATGGTAATTTTTCTAGATCATATTTATTGAACACAAGTGCTTGGAACTTAGACATGTTAATTTAAGAGACTCATTTTAACTTCACAATCACCCTGAGAAGAAAGTAAGGATCAAAGAGCTTAAGGGTCATAGTTTCAGAACTGGGATTTGACCCAGTTTTCTGATGCCAAATCCAATGTTCTTTCTAGTACCCAATAGATACCTACTGCTTATAATGCTGCCTAACATTTAATGGACTTATTTTAACAGCTACATCTATATGCCGACATCTATATAACAAAATTATGTGTATCCTATTCTAGAGTAGTGGGGATTTTTTAGGGACCAAAGTACAGAACTTTATATTATCCTACTTAAACTTTATCTCATTAGA